TCAATAAAAGCATCACTATCTCAGCACTAACGACAACCATTCGATCTACCGATATTAGTGTATGCGGACAGTTTAGCAGCACCCTTTTTCCTTAGAAGTCGTTTCCTGTTTTAGGAATAAACCTACAAGAACATCGGCTTAACTTGTCAGATTTATACAGACGCAGGCGGTTTTACACAGTGAAGAAATATAAAGCCATGTCGTCACGAAAAAAGTTCACCTTACCGCTTAGAAAACGCCACTGAATCCAGTCGCAGTGAACACGCCATACTAATGTTATATGAATACAGTGTTGTTACTATTACTGCTAAAAGTATTCAAATTAGGGCGCACAGTTTAATGTAAAAACATAAGACGAGATAGGAGAAGCCCTGAGCAGCCAGTAAAATAAGGAGAAAGTACAGCAGCCCAGCTGGGAAAACACACCAGCATGCATTTCACCCTGTCATGTGATAGAGAGCTAAGGGCCCGAACACAAAAAGAGCTTATCACGCTGGCATCATAGCACCATCATAGCTATGCTTTATGGGCCTTCATTTACTGCAGAAGGAATAAACCCAGTCTTCATGAAGCTAGCTAACGGTGTTGTATAACGAGCTAACGTTACGTCAGGCAGGAGAACTAGGAACCGAAAATTCATATGCCGGTGTTAGCTAGTTAGCTTAGTTAGCTAACTATTTAACCCGCTTATGTACTTGCCTGTAATACAGAAGAAGCCAAAATATCCAACTATGGCGTAGAGAACGTATATTTGAAAAATTTGAACGCAAAATAATAGGACAGATTTAGCTACATTTCGGACAAACCCGGACCGACAACGGCAATTTAAGTATTACTAGCTAACCTAGCTAGCGTTAGCTAACTAACGTTGCCGGTGAGCTGTCAAGTCCACGGGTGGATGGATGCTGCTACTAAACATCACACCACCAAACCGCCATAAACATCCGACTAATCATGTACACATAAAGCTTATGTACACAACCGAGTTAGCTAGATATAATGCACTGAATTTAACGCATACAACATTCCCAAAGAGTGATAAACCGTCAATGATAACACCTTGTTGTTTTCTAGCCTCAGCCCGCTTAGCCGCTGCATTCAGAAGCTGAAATCAGTTCGCACCGCGTAACGTAGCTTATATTGTTAACCTGTAACTGAATACAGAACTGCTGCATACCTGTTTGGTTGTTTTTTACAGCATAACTTTAAGACCAGGGCGCAGATTTGCCGTGTCCTTACTCCGCACAGAGGAACATTTTAATCTATTTCACATGATCAGGTTTGCTAGCCCGCTAGCCTAGAAAACGGTGTTTCGCTTCAGTAGACGCAAGCAATGGATCACGGAGTTCTCGATTATTGTTTTTATCACGAGACCAGGCATTACTCATCAAAACACCTATGGTTGGCTGCTTGTGATTTAGCCTTAAAGGGGAATTCCACCGATTTTCCCCCCTCAAAACGTCCGCGTAACACAGTCGTTGAGATGTAAACAAAGCCATTCGGAGTGGTTTGATGTGAAGTAGTACATTGTGGAGAACACGACTCAGGTTTCTTTACAGTGGCGGTGATGGGAACCAGGGATTGCAACGTCTGCAACACTAATATAGCCATTTTAGTTACTAGTTACATGAAATGACCAGTGACCCCATTCGTGACTTCTGAGTTTTAATATGTTTCTGTGAAACAGGTCTTATTGGCACAGCACTACATAATAGCCTGTTTCGTGAAGGCCTGATTTAACATATTTTCAGTGCTGAATTAAAATTTAGAACAGCTGGTCCTGACACAAATAACTGTTTGCAAGTGTGAATTTAAGTATGGTGATTTTATATCCTTACACAATACACAAAAACATTATAAAGAATACTTACAGCAAAACACATCAAAATATGTTACCAAATTCTCCAGACAGAATTATAGATTCAAGTTATGGATTAGTTGGCAAAGAGCATTATAAATAAATATTAGAATCTCCACAGAAAGGAAGAAATAAACAACAATGGCTAGAAACTATGATTATATTAGTTTTTGTATTACTAGATTTAAACACTTTACAAACATTCTAGTCTCTCAGAACTCAAAAATAAACAAGTAGAGTGTTGTATTTTGGTCTCTCTGGTCCAGTATTTAGACTTATACCTGTGTGCTTGGCAGCATGGGCCTGCTCAGAGATAAGTGTCTAGAAGCTTCTGAAGGTGAAGAACCAGGCTGACCACCAAAGTCCTGTCAAACATAGAAGCTGTTCTGCCTCAACACTAAGGTTGTTTCATCTTAGCAGAAAACAAAGAAAGTCTAAAAGCACATAGATGATGACAGCTTGCTGCTGAAGTGCAAAAATGCCATCCAGTAACTAGAAAATGCAAAAATGTATTTACAATACAACACATAAAAGTATTATTGATGTCAAGCATAGTTAAAACTGTGGGATAGCTACTGACAAATTCCTGATGAACTGTATTAAACACAACTGGGACGAAAGATCTCTGTCAACCTTGAAGCTATACTGACCTCTGGTGGTTGTATGATGAACATGCTCCATGCTCCAGATTTTAGAGATCTCTTTAGAATTTGAATGCTATAAAAAATCATTGTATACTGTGTGTAATATCATGAACAGACTATATACTATGTCACATCTCATGATATATATTCAGCATTGGGTTCTCAGTCGTAGCTGCCTTGATGAACAGCCTATCAAATTTTAGTTAGTTTCAGAAAGTAAAAGGCATATTTCACTGATACTATTTACCTTCATTCAACCTTAAATGGTCCACATCCAACATATCCTTTCTTGTCTTTTTTCAGAGGTCCTCTTATAATGCTTGTGTGGGTTTATATTCCAAAATCAGTCTTAATTCATTTTCTCAACTCTCCTTATTTCTTTAAAATAAGCAGATTGTTGTTACTGTGCCTTTGAGACCGATATACGTAACTGACCTCTGTACTAATAGGCTGCCCTGTATTGTATCTCATTCCAAAATCAGTCCAGGGTGAAACACTCTTCAGTGTAAATACATGGGGCTAAACTACTGTAGGCTTGAATAGGCAGGTGTATTTAAATGAGTTGTTTTTTGTGACATCACAAAAACAATGAATATAAAATTTCTTCAGCTTAGTGTCCATACATGACCTGTACGGACTGGGAACAAATGTTTAAGTAGTGAGGAAAATTTGGTCTTCCATAATATAGGCTTCTGAAAAAAACAAATGTGCTAAAGGGGTAATTTGGATCGGTGCCACACTCTTGGTTCCCTAAAGAAACTCTCAGGAGAATTTTTTAAAGAACTGAAAGGTACTTTAGGGATTTATTTGACCTTTACTTTAGGGATTTAGAAGTGGATATTCTATGGGATTGCTTCAAAGAACCAATTTTGTCTCCTTTCCCTTTAAGAATGTACAAGACAGACATCTATAATATAGAATAAATCATAGCTTTGTAAATTGACTACACTTTAAAAAATGCACTTGATTCAAATTTGTACCTCGGTTCCACATGAAATAATATTAATAAATAAATGTTACATCGACACAGTTTTTCTTTTAGTTTACACACTTTTGGCAAGAATTTAGTTGATGTATTTTTTATCATGTAGAATTGATGTACATATTGGTATTGAGTAAAATCAGTGCACTTTTTTCAGTGACTGAACAAACCATACAGGACTATATAAATTATATACACAAACCAGCAACTTCATTAAGTGCTCTCCCTTGTGTCTACACTCACTGTCTATTTTATCAGCTCCACTTACTATATAGGTGCACTTTGTAGTCCTACAATTGCAGACTGTAGTCTATCTGTTTGTTAGCCCACTTTTACATCATTGGTCAGGACCCTCAGAGGACCACCATAGGGCTGGTGTTATTTGTGTTGTGGATCATTCTCAGCACTGCAGTGACACTGATGTGGAGAGGTGTGTTAGTGTGTGTTGCACTGGTATGCACTGTGTCCACTCTATTAGACACTGCTACCTTGATGGTCCATCTTGCAGAGGTAAAGTCAGAGACAGTAGCTCATCTGTTGCTGCATACTTTGTGTTAGTCCTTCATCAGTGGTCACAGGACACTGTTGGATATTTTTGGTTGGTGGACTATTTTCAGTCCAGCAGTGACACTGAGGTGTTTAAAAACTCCAGCAGCACTGCTGTGTCTGATCCACTCATACCAGCACAACACACACTAACACACCACCACCACATGAGTGTCACTGCAGTGCTAAGAATGACCCACCACCCAAATTATACCTGCTTTGTGGTGGTCCTGTTTGACCATTGAAGAACAGGGTAAAAGGGGGCTAACAAAGTTTGCAGAGAAACAGATGGACTACAGTCTGTAATTGTAGACCTACAAAGTTTGAATTTGAACTGCTCCCATTTGGCAGGCACTGTCAAACACCTGCTGGCAAACCATCCAGGCACAAGAACAGCTTCTTTCTTCTAGCCATTAAGCTGATAAATGAATACCCACACAAATCATGTGTCCAAATACCTCAAACACCACATACTCAGAACATAATATTTTGGACTTTGCGCAATACTTGGGCAGTATTGTTGGACTCACCGACTCAGATTTCTTTACAGTGGTCGTAATAGAGACAATGGGTTACCATGCCTACAACACAAATATAGCCTGTTTGTTTAGTATTCAAAACCACCTGTGAAACCTAAATGCATCTTCTGAGTTTTTTTATGTAATGTTGATGAGGTTAAAAATATTAGTTTTATTTGGACATTATTTTGCCCTACAACACCTTGCATGCACTTCTCTGCCAAGAATGTACTTTAAAAATGCATCTTACGCTAAAACCTTATTTCACAATTATTGTGAAACAACGTGTCAGCCATCAGGCAACATATTTGTAATCAATTCATGTTGTAACTTTTTGTAAGGGAGCTGTTAGAGGCGTCTGGTTCCTGTGTACAGTTCCCAACAAACAACCCAGAACGACTTTATTTGTTTCCTAACGACTGAATTTATTGTGGTTTATTGCTACTGAATTTCCATTAAAATGCAAAGTTTCAGTTTCAAAGATGTAGATTCACATCAACAATCCAGTCACATTTTAAGTTATGTGGATGAATTATTGAATTTAATGAATCAGTCTGTGTTTTGTGAAACTGTAATTGACAAATAGGTCTTAAAAGTCATCAATCCAAAGAAAAATCACTCATTTGTGCAAACATTGATATGTAAATCATTTCCAGATATACAGAGATTTTCAAATATTTAACATTATATGAGGGAACCAGCCTCCCCTCCATTAATCATCAACTACCAACCAGCTGCTGTCCTCTCCAGTTCAAGCTTAAAAACTTGAAAATATAACATATGTGAGTTTCTTGCATTTTTACTAAAAGCTTAACACATCATGTAACAATGTTAGCTTCATTTTTTTTTCTTGACAAAATGTAATGCCCAGCCTTATTAGTAAGATACGGTACTACAAGATACTGGAATTTTATTTTATGTTAAAATGGGATGCTTTAGGTGCTTTAAAGTTTAAATTATCAGTCCTGTATAGTATCCTATGCTATCCTAGATCTCTATTCATGTAAAAAAGATCATTTAAATAGAAAATGAATAGTATGATATTTAGTCACTCATTTGCTTTTGTCAGATCATCTTCTGATTCAGATTTGTCCTCAGATTCTGTCTGCCTCTGCTTTTCTCCTCTCTCACATTCCAGTGCTGGCTTTTCCATGATTCGGGAATCTTCTTGTATAGACTTCTTGGACTTTTTGGCAGCCTTCTCTTTAGACAAGGCCACATGCCTCTGAGAGGAACCACCTGAAGATGTCTGTAAGATCAGAGGAAAATGGTAGCATTTAATATTTAGAATGCAAATGATTAAAAAAAAAAATTATAGCAGCATTTATGGATGATCTAAATCAGGGTCTAAAATCCCTGGTCTTTGGGCTAGTACAGAGGGGTGCTAGTGGTCCACTGTGGGCCACTGATGGTACTTTGACATAAAAATCAGTAAATTAATAATAATGTGGTGGTGTAGTGTAGTAGGTAACACCTCTGCCTTCTACGCTGTAGACTGGGGTTCAATCCCTGCCTGCGCAAACACCCTACACTATATCAATAAGGGTCCTTGGGCAAGACTCCTAACACTTCCTTTGCCTACCTGTGTAAAATGTAAAATTGTAAGTCACTCTGGATAAGACCGTCTGCCAAATGCCATAAATGTAAATGTAATAATTTCCCTCCATCTTCTAAGCTGCAGGGGGAGTCTATCCCAGTGGTCATCGGGCGGAAGGCAGGAAACACCCTGGACAGGTCACCAGTCCATTGCAAGACAGACAGACATATATATTCACACTCACAGCTAGGGGCAATTTAGCATGTCCCATCAGCCTGACTACGTGTGTTCAGACTGTGGGAGGAAACCCGTGCAGACACAGAACATGCAAATTCAGCACAGAAAGGACCCTGGTTGCCCTGCCAGGGACGCAAACCCAGGCCCTTCTTGCTATGAGACAACAGCGCTACCCATTGTGCTAAAATCAATACAAATTCTGCAACAACTATTTGTTGCCCCTTGCCTCTAGAAACAGCACACACTCCCCTGAAGCTCATGGTTGCCTAATCTGATATTTTATGTTTCATAAAACATGTTGCATATTGTGGCGCCTAAACACTACTGTGTTGAAAATTTCCAGAAACAAAAAAGACATTTTAAGAAAGAAAGTAGAGTTTTGTTTTCATGTGGGCCTTCATGCTTTCTGGTGGTAAACAGATGGACTTTGATGTGGAAAAGTTTGAGAACCCCTGATCTAAACTAAAAGCATTTCTCCTTATCACTGCAGTTACATTTCCCATATTACGGAAAACCGAATAGTTTCCTTTGCTTTTTTCAATAAAGGGTTTAATATTCTATGTAAACATTATAAAAGCTTCACTTCTAACAACATACACTCAATATATTTGAAAACTATTTAATGCAAAGCTGCTGTCTTGAATTCATCATGGTTGTGATATCACAGCAATCAACACATTCATATATAACCATCTCTATTCATCCTACAGCAGGTTAGCCATACCAAACTGAAGTGATGAAGGAGTGTTGCTGGAAGGAGGTATTGAATGAATGAGTGTAAGATGTAGGGAAATTATTCAAATTAAAGCTGTGTATCATTGCAGCTTTCTGGAGGATTTTAAAGGAGTTTTAAAGGCAGAGTTGAAAAACAGAGGGTTACGTATTAATAAATTGCGCCTATTTCGGCTCACACAAATGCACAAGCATTATGATTGAACTTCAGAGGAAAACTAAAATACAAAAACACACAGTCACCAAACATCCCATGGTTCTACATGCCTCACCTGAGTGTTGCTCAAGCGTGGGAAGCGTCCGATGCTCTCCATGAGACTGAGGGTTTCCAGCCACTGTTCCCGCCACAGCTGGACACTATAGTGGGGTGTGCACTGGGATAAACGCCGGAAAATCTGCTGGTTTTCCTTGACGATCTGGAGCAGATCCTGTTGTCTTTTGTCTGAACAAAGACTGGTTTCAAGGTAAAGGGGAAATATTAGTTTACTATTTGGTTTAATTTCTGTTGTAATCACAAGGGTTCAAATCGGACTACGTAAAAATCACATACTAAAACATGGTTCCATGGAGACACTCTGACACCAGTGAGAGTAACAGCAAGAGGAAACATTCAGACAATTTTTTGTTATTAAATATACTTCCAGTGCATGTATGCACTTCAAATTTACTCACACAGTGGCCTTTTATTGTTTTAGTTGTGTAAAAAAAGAGCACAGATTTAACCACATTGAATGATGTATGAACTACTCGGTGTCTGACTCATAAAACTTTTTATGGCATGGAAATAAAGGGAGATGAAGCAAAGCGATGAGGCAGCTTCAGAGAGTGAAATCAAGCACCAGGCTACCTGTAGCCCCATTTACATATCAGTTCCATTACGCACACCCTAATTTATGAGCTGTGTCCGAAACTGTGCCCTATTCACTATATAGTGCACAAAAATAGGACTTCCAACATTTTTTATCGCCCTGCACAGTTTTTTCCCTGCTTCCAACACGCCTGATCCAACTAATCAGCTCATTATCAGTCCATTATGGAGTTAAAGTCAGTATGTTAAAGCAGGAGAAGCACAAAATGTGCAGGGCATTCAGCCTCCAGGACCAGGGTTGAGAAACACTGTGTTGGAGGATATAGGATACCCACAATACATTGCGTTTGGTTTGAAGATTCACACACAACGTCTCTGAGTAGGATTACCAAGCACAGTTACACTGGAAGCATTCCATAGACATTTCTTAAGACCTGTTACGGATGTAAATAAGCTCTTCTCATGTGTGCAGTTCATAGTGTTTATGCGACAGAGTCTTCTGTTGTACAGTAATGAGAAAAAACGTATGACATAGTGTCCAAAATCACTTGTCACCTTCACAAATTCTGCTCCCTGCAATAGTGTTCTATATTTTTAGTGTAGGGTATAGTGATTAGGATACATTTGAGCCAATGGCTACGCTAGTAGGTTCAGTTTGATGTCGAGTAGTGAGTGCACTGCTCCCCCCACTGACTAAACTTTATAGTGCTAAAATTACGACAATTGAAAAGAATAAAATGTGAAGTAAACAAAACGGCTTAGGTTGTTTTTTTAAAACGTAAGTAATGTAAAACAACATATTTAAAAGTTGTATTATTGCAGTGTATGAGATATGTTTTGTATTGTTTATTTTTTGGGCGATATCAACTGTGAAACAGATACACAGTAATATATCTTTAAATGGTACATGGAATAGTTGCAGCACCAATGTGCACATAAAATAAGTGCATCCATCTTGTGCTGGATTGCTCTGTGCACAAACTTTAGTATTATTATTTTTTAGCATTTTTATTCTTATTGTTGGTGTTATAGATGTCATTCATAACAGCTTTGGTTAGTTAACCGCAAATCAAGCATTTTTTCACAGGTTGTTAACTTATTATGCTCAAGTTAACACACACTCCTACCAGATGTGAGTTAGATTACACAGATACATCAAAGATAAAACTAAACTTTTCAGATCAGTTTGGACCACACGCAACTTTGATGAATAAGGACTTTTATATATATGTATAGTTTGAAATGTATTTATGCACTGCAAGTAATTTATATGACAAAAACAAAAGTGTCTGAACACTGTTTTCCCTCACTGTAAAGGTTCAAGAGGTAGTTGTTGCATAGAAAACTTGTCTTTGAGCTTTTGAAACAAAATGGCTTACCTTTTTTTCACATAATCATTTCTACAGTCAATTCGTCCAGTGGTCCTCATTATATGGGATATTTTATCAAGAAGCATGTGATTTTCTCTTTGGATTGTTGAAAGCCGTTCTTCTTCAAGCTGAAATTGAAACAAGGCCTGTTATCAGGGTTTACTGAAATGAGATAAGGAGATGGCACCTTCCAGCCATCAACTGTCTCAAGCAGGGGTCCCTCAAACACTTTCAAATATCACACTGATGTTACCAACCATTTTCTGCTCTTCGAAGAACTTAAAGTGACCTAGTGGCCTAGGGGAATTCTAGTATTTTATGGGCTCAGCAACAGCTGAATGAATTAAATGAATAAAAAATGTATACTATATATATGTAGTAGCATCAGCAAAGAAGAAGACACAGGAAACATTAAACTTTAAAGGCAAATGCTCTTTTATTGAACAGACATCTAAGGGAGAACTGAAATAAGGTCACATCTAGCCATACAGTTCTACTCTATGATAGACACTTAACCCACCTAACTACCCCACAACCCAGCACAGAATTGTACAACCGACACATGTTAAACAAGCATCGACAACTACAACAAAATGTATCCTGCCACGAGTGCAGTGCCCCCTGTGAGTACTAGAGCTCTCAAATGCTTAAAGTAATTAGTTGTGATTAATCACGTTCTTTGGTGCAGTAAATCATGATCAACTGCATTTAATCCCAAATATGACATTGAACAAAGATTTTTCCCATTGAAAAAGCAATGTATTTTGGTATAGCTATGTGAGTAGACAAAATAAGTTTCATCAGTATTTATTACTTCAGAATGTTCCAACTCTTTTGTGTTTATAGCTTCTCGCTTTCAAACCTGTTCATACGGCTCGTGGATGCAGCGCAGGCTCTCAAGTAGAACGTCTAACTTTACTGTTCTTGTTAGTTTGCTGATCATTGATTTATCCACAGGTCTTCTGTAAGCACTGTCCGGCATAGTCTGCTGAAGGTATCACTTTAAAAGCCATTTAAAAGCTATATTTGAACAAGACAGCTCTGCAAAGTGGCTTGGCCTCAGCCTGAGCTACTATGGATCACGTATGCTGGTGCTATTCTTACACATAGCCTTTTTGCTGCAAGTAAGAAGATAAGCACTAAAACCAAGTTTGCTGGCTGAGTACGTCTGTTAAGGTTTTGTTGGGTTTCTTTTTGTTTTGTTTTGTTTTGTTTTGTTCTTTTGGTGGTTAACAATTTAAAACTGTCACTTTTCAGGGAAACCTTTGCCAGGGTCATGCCTTTGAACAATTAAACATGCAAGTTTCTTGGCCTCAATAAAAAATAATATTTTCTCAAAAATTTGCAATGCATCAGCAGTCCTGTTTTGATGAAATTGGCTTACCTGTTCGTTTTCTTTCTTTCTTTTTTTCTTTCTTTCTTTCTTTCATTTTTCTTTCTTTCTTTCTTTCTTTTTTCTCAAAGCTGTTTTTTTTACTCTGAAACTTTCATGCAGCTTTACTTGCTTTTAACCTACATGAAACTAAATTAGACTTTGTGTAATGCAAAATGTTCTGCAACTCACTTGACACTCAGCTGTAACTGTTGCAGGAAGCTCAACTTGTGAAATAAAAAAAAAAAATCAAGAAACAGCTGATCAAAAATGCTGAAGACACATCACATGATCATGTTCAATGGCATATATTAAAATGACTTATTTCACTGTATCAGTGAACAAGAAAACAAAACAAAGATGACTTTACACACAGTGAAATTTTCATGCAATTAGTTGCATGTTGTGTGTTGCCTGCAACGTATTTTCCACACTAATTGTCAGTTACACGGAGCAATTCAAAAACATTCACCAAGTGTGATCAATTATACCTCTAGGTAGACAAATAAGCAAATTATTTTTCCAGGTGTGATTGCTTTTTTTCTTAATTAATATTTCTTAATCAAAATTTATCTATCTACCTATGGTATCCTTTTCAACCACCCTGTAAACCATATTTTATTTTCTTGTCTGTTAATCTAGTGAAATCAGTTGTTTTAAAATATGTCATTCAACGTGATCACATGATGCACAACAGGCGTTTTGATTGGCTGTTTGAATGAACGAAGTTGAGACATTTGCAACTATTGCGGCTGAGTTTCAAGAGATTGACACTTTACAACTGCAGTTTAATTTCATGTAGGTTTCAAGCAACTAAAATTTCATTGTGTAAAGGCAGCCTTAGTTTAGCTAGTTTAGCTCAGCTTAACTGGCAGAGAGTGTTTTTACTGTGATGCGACCATTTAGGAATCATCTTTGTGTTAAGATGATAAGTTTGAGAAACCCAGCCCTGTTTAGGTAATATTACACAAATCCAAACAAATCTTCTTACCGTCTGTTTTTTCCGCTTGACAAGAAGGTGGCCATAGACCAAAGGCGGAGTTGTGTTTATAGTTGCCTTCGCAGACTGAACCTTTAAATTTAACAGTGTATTGTCAGTGCTATGCCTCAAATTAGTTTAAGCATTTACCCTAATTTACTCCAAAGACCTTTTAAACACAAACAAATCTCTCTTTTCTTTCACTACTGCAGATCTTACCCGTTTCCTGTGCATTTCATAGCAGCTTTTATCCCATTTGTATTGCAAGTATTTGTTGATGCAGGGTAGCAGTGGTTGGTAAGTTTGGTGCTGCATGCTGTTGTGCAAACTCCAGCACTGAACACAGACTTGGGCACCGCCTGGCTGGAGTCTGTCAGTGGCTGTTGTCATGACACCCACAGAGACGCAATGACCAGCTCTAATGGTTTATGTTTTAAACCCCTTGAAACTGTTGAGCTTCATGTATCATTCATTTACAGACAGTGGATGGACATTTCCCATTTAAAGGGACTGTATAATGGAAAAGTGACTTTTCCTCACTTTTTTTAAATAAAAAGGTTTGATGTAAACATTGTTGCAATGTAAGTTTCAAAACATACTGTTCACTCCCCAGTAGAAACAGTCCACATGTGGAAATTAAACTATGACAACAGTCTGTTTTGAATTCAGATTTTTTGTGATGTATCAAAACAAATTATTTATATATATACGAATATTCAGTCTATAGCAGTTTAGCTCCACCCTTTCAAGCTGAAGTTCTAAGTACTGTTTCAGCCCAGTCTGTTTCTTTTAATAAGGGACAATACAGGGCAGCAAATCAGAACAGAGGTCAATCTTAAAGGTACGGTAATGGCCTGTTTAATCTAAATGGTAAAGTAAGGTTTGAAAGTTTTAAGCTCACAAAATCACAGAAATGATATAAGTGGACCTAGAGAAAAAATATAAAATACAAGAAAAAAATATATAAACATCTATATATCCTTTAAAAGCACAGTCTGTGATAAAATGGATGAAATGGTTCTTTAGATGACTATAGACCATAGTACCATGGATCCACTGACACCGTCTTGCTTGTATAAGATGTTACAAAGTAAAATATCATATCAAGCACTATAAAGTACCTGAGAGAGGATCTGTGCCAATTCTAAAATATCCCCTCTAGAACAGAATAATCCAGCTGCTTATATAGGGTACTTGTTGTTGAAAAAGGAGACAGAACATATGGTCCTTTTTAAAATGATCTCATCTATTTGGAACTAAGAGAGACCCACTCCCTATGGGGGCCTTTGGACCAGGGGCCCCCTCAGTTAAACATTCCAAACCTGTAAAAACAGAATACATGGAACTTCAAATACTACAATATCTACTTATACTAAAAGTTAAGAGTGCTTTTGCCTTCTTCTGTAAAGCTACCATTTTAGATATACCTCAGTTTTACCATCAGTGGGGTCTTATTTTTTTCTGATTTTCTCCATCTCATCTGCTGAGTCCGTTCACACATAAAAGACTGGTAGTGTTAGTAGTTTCCTGGCATATGTTAACAGTATGACAACAAAACAGTGAAAGTGAATTGTGTGCAATGTAGATTTATAGGCCTATATCCATTACTCAACTGATATCTATATCGTCACCTCAAACCTTTTCCTACAATCTAATGCTGATCTTACCTAGTTGACTAACTTTGGTTCTAATGCTAACCCCAACACTAACACTGTTGGTAATCAACTGAGCTTCACCAGGTAGCTTCCTAACGGTTGGAGTATCTGTAGCCAATCTGTATGGAAACTGTGCAAATAACATGGGAAACTTTTTTAAGAACTCTCGAAGATCTCCAGAACTTTGAGAAAATCCTCTGAGATTGCCCCCTCACCCATATAAAGCCTGTCCTACTTAATGTCCCTGTCCAATCTGAATATTCGGTGTCCTGCAAGGGCACTGGAGCAGAGCTAGCGCGCTGGCAGAGTAGCGTAACGCAATGTGGACAAACTGGAACACAGGAGCCTTACAGTACGTGGCCTTGATGTGTCAGGCGGACGGGTTCGTCACCTAAAGCACAAATTATTAGGCTAGCTCTGTTTTTAGGCACACTCCTACAAACCATGGACTCGTACGTGACAAAATTCTTGTTTCCCCCATTTTGCAAGGACGCAGAGAGAGAAAACTCGCTCCCATAGCCTCTGCTGTGCATAAGACACATATTGCTGGACAGTACCTGAGCTCTGGAGTAAGATGTAGCTGATGGTGAGTGGACTTTTACTTTAATATTTGAATGATTATATACATTATACATGCTTATACTTATTTATATTACTATGTTTCTCTCTCATGTATGCATATATATCTATCTATCTATAATAACTGTAACCATTACTCATTAGCCCATATTTACTTCAGTGCAAGAGGACCAAGGTTAAATTATATTATAAAGGTATGTTTTATGGAATGTAGTTTTAAATAACTCCTGATTGCAAAGACGCTGTTATTTTTGACTAGTTCCTGAGGGATCTGGCAAAGCGAAGATGCAGAGCTCTTCCCAGAACATTTCTCAAGCATGCAAGAGTTCATTTCACATTTTCCGCAGCATAGAATTATACAAAGCTGAGGGAATTATTACTTGTTACATTTGCATCACTGACTATTTTGAAATGATTTTGAATGATTACAAATATTGCTTTATGTACAGTACAGTGCAAAAGTCAAACACCACATTACATTTGTTTAGTTTCCAGTCAAAACAGCCTTTAAGTACAAGATCATTTTTCAATGTCACTATTTATTTGTCGGAGTCAGGAAACAAATCAGAAAACCTGTATCTAACAGAAAATTACACAGAAGCCTCAACAACTAAATATAATTTCAATTATTTCAATACTTAGTGTGTTCCCCCTTTGCCTTTATTACAGCTTCCATTCTTTTAAAGAAATCTACAGGGATGGTTTTCCACACCTCCAAAGTTCAGTCTTAGAAGTTGGTTGCATTTTCTGTTTCTCACAATTCAAATAACTCCAAACACATTCAGTGATGTTGAGGTCTGGACTCTGGGGTGGTCAGTCCATTGTTCTGAGAACATCAGCAGCTTCCTTGTTTGATTTGGAGATCTTCTTCTTTTGTCTGTTTTCTTTTCTCAGTAATGGCTTCTTGACAGCTACACATCCTTTCAGGGTCTGAGTGTAGAGTTGTCTTCTCACAGTAGAAGGATGGACAGAAACACCTGTGGATTTTTTCAGATGTGAAGCAAAAGTGGAGCCTGATTTTCTCCTCTCTCCCAAAGATGAAAGCTTTAAGTACTGTTTATCTGATGGGGACAGTTTTAGTGGTCTACCAGGTCACTATGAGTCCCATTTTCTCTCTATTCATTAATACATTTTGGAACTACAGTTTTTTTCTTATGTTTTCTCTTTCCTTGTGCAAGTGGATTAAAAAATGAATAACTCATACTTGAAGGCTGTTTTGACTGTAAATTAAATGAATGAAATGGTGACTGATGACTTTTGCGCAGTATGAATATGATAAGATTATAAGCTATGGTGACAGTTACCGAGGCACTGGTGTTGTACCAACTCTAATAAACAGAAACGCTCAAACAAAGGTCGAACTGGATCAGTGACACTGGCTCATAATGACTCAGTCATAATGATGAAGTTGCACTTGCTGACGTTAGATGATCCCTGTAGACTGAATCCATGATAATTACATTTTGATGATGCTCAGAATCAGCCTGTATCTGTGAGAAGTAGGAGAACCCCTGCACTGTGCCTTCTTGTACAATCATTTTATCCTCATGATGGACAGTGTATTGAGGTGATAAATTGGCAATTGAGTCAGGTGTATTAGAGCAAGGAAATCTCTAAAATGCTGTGCGAGAGCTGGACTGCTCTACATTACATGCTTAAAAAAGCAATATGTACAAAATGTAACAACACCTCTCCCTGCTGGCTGGATTAGAACTCTACACCCAGTAATGTCGTCACATGTCTAGTGTTTTTACTCTGTTAGTTGGAAATATATCACTAAAGTCTTTGTAGTAATTTACTCTACATGTCCAAAAGTATCAGACAGCCCTTCTAATTACTTATTTTTAGGTCATTCACAATAGTTTGACGTGAAATGCTCTGTTTTAGAGAAACTTACCAAGTCAGGATTGTTCACAGTGGTGGTGATAGGAACCAGACGTCTGAAGTGTTTAAGAGTTTTGGTACCATTATTATTAAAGGGAAATTCTGCTGATTTTATAAGTTTTCTCAATTCAGAATGGTTTGGTGTGAAATGGTTCATTTGTAGAGAAGCTTACTAACTCAGATTTCTTTACAGTGGTGCTGATAGGAACCAGGGGTCGCAATGTCTACAACACAAATATAGACATTTTATTTACTATCCAAAACCACCAGTGAACCTACACATGTCTTCTGAGCTTTTATATGTAAGGTTGATGATGGTAAATCTGAAAAACAATGATATGAATGGATGAATAGATAAAAAAATACATTTTAGGCCAAAGGCTTATAGTAAAACTATTACAAAACAATGTTTCAGACATCAGGCAGTGTATTTGTAACCTTTTTATGGAATAGCTTTCTGTGATGTGGCTTTTAGAGGCATTAAATTCGTTAGATGTCTGGTTCCTGTCGCCACCACTGTGAAAAATTCTGACTTGGTAAGTTTATTTAGAATGGAACATTTTATATCAAACCACTCAAAGTGACATCTCTACGTCTTAACCATTTCATTATACAGAATATTTTAAAAATCAGTGGAATTCCCCTTTAAGAATGTATAATAAAAATAATAAGAGATTTTTCTTGAAGTCAAAGTCATTCAGAGTGGTTCGGTGTGAAATGCTCCACTAGAGAAACAGAATCAGAATTGTTTCCTGTGGTGATGATAGGAACCAGGCGTCTGAAAATGTCTGAGACCCTGTTTAACAATAAGTTTGGAAAAAAAGCTTTGGCCTAAAATTAATATTTTAAAAAATATATATTTATTGTGTAGAAGAAGATGCATGGCAAGGCATAATAGTACTCAGTGAAAACTTAATAATAACTTTATAATATATTTTTGCATTATGACCGCTGGTTCTTATCAGCATCACTGTAAAGTAATTTGAGTTGGTAAGTTTTTCTCCAGTGCACCATTTCACATCAAAACCAAAACCATCAAACTTTTGCATATGTCACAGCGACTATTTTGTTTTTTTTTCTATTTTTGAAGTTAATGAAATATAAAGGAATTGTGCATTAACATTTGCATAAAATATATAATTTTCTGCTGAGCTAATGTGAGTAATAATATCTTAACTGCAGCGTTGTTTGGTTACTCAGC